CAAGCGTTGGCCATGTCGCTATTCTAATAAATATTATATTATAATTAAAAATTATTATATTATATTATATTATATTTTCTCAACACATTTATCGTGAGCTCTGAAACACGTGATTGCAAGGAAGTTTCATGTCAGTATTTTCAACCCATTTTTCTTAGCAACTTATCTCTAATAAATATTATATTATAATTAAAAATTATTATATTATATTATATTATATATTCGCAACACATTTATCACGACGGCTGAAACTTGATAGTTGATATTGCATGTTGGCCGGCATGTTGTCCTTTGGGTATTTTGCATGTGTTATTGGTGGTGTTGGCAGACATGTGGTCCATAATTTGTTTTAATATTTTACAATGACAAATTGCTTATTGACTGATATTATTCATGTTCTTTTGTTGTTTTATGTATTGTTTTGACTTTTAGGTAGGGTTGACAGTATGGAGAAGTGTGTTGGTGTGTATTTGCATTATGGTGGTTCTTATAGTAGAGGACTTTGACTGTGATTATTTATCATCTACAAGTATTAAGAACGTTCATAGAGAGCAGTTAAAAGTGAATGATGTTTATATGCTTGAACCTGGGTTAGATTTACACGAAGGACTATTTCTAGTGGATGATGGCAGTGGTACTAGGAAACTTCTGCAGGAAATAGACAGTGACACTGATGTCTTGGACATGTTTGCAAGTCATGGAGTTGATGAGCCTAATATTCTAACAATCGAAGCTAATGACACTGAGCCAGTAGTCGAGATGGGAATGAAGGGATCACTGAAGCTAATGAACCTGAACCAGTAGTTGATGAGAATGAAGGGATCACTAAACCTAATCTGTCTATTGATGATGAGGTAGATAGACTAGTAAATGAGTGGATAAATACTCAAGGCAGTAGAACTGAGCCCCAACAGTGAAGGTGAGGTGATGGTGGTTGTGATATTAGTGAAATTGACAGTGGCACATCTATAAGTAGTGATGATGATGATGATGAAATTTGTAATGCACTAGATCAAAGTGATAGTAGTTGTTACGGTAAGTAACTTTTTTAGCCGTGGCCTCGGGGCCGTCGCGGCTCGGTTCGGGTCCGGACGACGGGGATCTCCCTGGGGCGTTCCTCGGGGTCTCGCGGCGGCCGAGCACGGTGGTTCGGGTCGACCGGTCGGGAGGCAGCTCCGCCACAGCACCGGGAAGAGGCGACGCCGTCTCTTACCTGCACACAGGTCGGGCCGGGAGCTCGGCCCGACCCCTCCGACGATCGAGTTAGAGAAAGATGTGGAGGGGGTTTAGGAGGAGGAGAAACCTCCGTCTGTTGAGTGTGTTATCCCCCCCTCTTTGCCAAGGGCTCGGGGGTATTTATAGAGGAGGTTTGAGGTTACCTGATGCAAGGCAGGACTGTACCTTTGGTTGCGTGGGAGGCCGAGCTGTTGCAGGGTATGGCGAGCCTCGGGTAGTGTGTTGCTCAGGGGGATGGCGTGTCACATTGCCATTTTTGTCCATATCATATGCCCCCCCCGAAAGGAGCTATGCGTCGGTTCTTGCATGCAGGGAGTCCGATGCATGGCTTCCTACTCCAGGTAGGCTGTTCATATGGATACGTGGGGCATGACGTAGACGGGCCGGTCGCGTGAACGCGTCTCGAGCAGCACGAGGCCGAGGTGCGCAATTCAGTCAAGAAGCCCAGCAGAGTTGGACTCGGGAGAAATGGAGCCGATGAGGACCGGGGAGCACTGTGCAGGCGAGCTGGGTGGCGTAACTTGTTCAGCACAATACTCTCCGAACTAACTTGGTCGTCGGAGGGGTCGGGTCGAGCTGCCAACCCGACCTGTGTGCAGGTATTCGCCCGCCGTCAAGGCCCCTCGACACAACGGAGTTACCCAGCCAGGTCCCCCACATCTGCCACCTAAGGACCCTGCAGGAGGCCACGTCTGATCCGAGCCATTTGGAGCCCTGATCCAGCCGCGTCGACCCCAAGGTCACGGCAAAAAAGTTACTTACCGTAACAGATTGGCGCTAGAAGGAGGGCCTTCCAAATGTCAGGCGATCAGCAAGTCCACCCCGGCAGATCCTCAAATGCGGAGCTCCCCGCCTTAGGGGAACGGCGTGACGACGAACACCCCGCAGCGGTGTCAGAACGCTACTGGCGGTTGTTCAACGACCCGGGCTTGTCGCCCCCTGACGGCGCACCCGCCGACTCCTCGTAGGTGTCGCCCGAGGCCTTTCATGACCTCGCCCACCAGGTCCGAGCCCTGACAAGCATGGTGCAGACCATTGTCTCCCAACGGGCCCCCCCGCATGCCACACGGCCCTCACAGCAACAGGAGACCCCCGGCCCGTCCCGCGTGCCACTCCCAGGGCTCCCGGGCTCGCCTCGAAACCCCACGACTCGGCCAGGGAGCAGAGAAGCAGAGGACACGGCGAGTCGCCCCGAGCCCGAGGCTCCGACCGCCGACTCGACGAACGCCCTACGGGCCCAGCTACGCCTCGTTAGTCAAAGGCTTGACGAGGTACAGCAGGAGGTTCGTAAGTCAAAGGGAGAACTCGGGGCGGACGGACACCAAGGATCTCCGTTCATCCCCGAGATACAAGATCAGGCGATCCCGTCGCATTTTCGCCTCCCATCCTTGGACACGTATGACGGCGCGACCGACCCCGCGGACCACGTGGCCGCTTTTCGATCCCAGATGGCGCTATTCGGGACTTCAGACGCCCTGATGTGCAGGGCATTCCCGACGACCTTGCGGGGACCGGCCCGCGCGTGGTACAACAGCCTGAAGCCGGGGACCATCACCTCCTTTGACCAGCTCGCCAAAGATTTTGAGCTCAACTTCTTGGCGTACGCCCGACCAAAGCCGTCCATGGCGTTGCTCTTGGGGCTCAACCAGAAGGAGGACGAGCCCCTTTCTCACTTTGTGAACCGATTTACGACACAAATCCGTGGATTGTCGGACGCTCACCCCTCTCTCTTAATGCAGGCCTTTATGACTGGCCTGCGGCCCTCCAGGTTCTTCTGTTCGCTCGTGGAGAGGCCCCCTGTCGCGGTCCCCGAAATGCTCCAACGGGCCAGTCAGTTCATCGCCGCGGAAACTTGGATGGTCGGAAAGCGAGAGGAGCACAGAAAGGTCAAGTCGGAGCCACCCCGATAGCAACAACCTACCGCCTCCCGGCGAAAATTGGACAGGCCTGACCCGAGGCCTCCTCTTCCGGCCTTGAATTCTTCCCGGACCGAGATATTCCTACACGAAAGGGGGAAAGGGCTGCTCAGGGACCCTCACCCGATGAAGAACCCGCGGGAACTCGCAGACCGTTCAAAGTATTGTCAGTTCCATCGACAACACGGGCATGACACCGAGCAGTGCTACGAGTTGAAAAGACAGATCGAGGAGCTCATCCTCAGAGGTCACCTCGGCCAGTACCTCAGGCCAAACAAGGAGCGGTCCCCTCGCCCAGAGGGCCCCGTCGAGCGGCACATCGATGTCATAGCCGGGGGACCCGCATCCGGAGGAAGTTCTATGTCGGGCAGGAAGACGTACGCCCGGGCCGCTCCCGACGAAGCCTCGGGGCGCGAACCCGAGCCCGAGATCACTTTCCCAACCGGAGCCGCTGAGCGACCCGACCACGACGACGCCCTTGTGATATCGGCCAGGGTAGCCAACGCGCGGATGAGGAGAATCATGGTCGACACAGGGAGCTCGGCTGACATACTCTACTTTTGCGCCTTCCAGAAGCTGGGCCTAGCCAGGGAGAATTTAGGCCCGATGTCCTCGGCGCTCACCGGCTTCACGGGGGATTCGGTATCGCCTTTGGGAGCCATTACCCTACCCCTGACTCTGGGGACCCCGTCGAAATCAAAGACCGTGATGACCACTTTTTTGGTGGTCGACCTTCCCACCGCTTATAATGCCATACTCGGTCGGCCAACCCTCAACAAGGTCAGAGCCGTCGTCTCGACCTACTACCAGACCGTCAAATTCCCGACTCGCGAAGGGGTCGGGGAAGTCACCGGAAGCCCCCAAGAATCCAGGCGTTGCTACCTTACCTCCGTCTCGTTGGGCAAAAGAGTCAGGGGAGAGGCGCCCCTAGAAGATCCCCGGGAAGCAAAGAAGCCGGCCCCTCACCCTGGGCCGGGGGGATCCACTGTGGACGTCCCTTTGCGGGAAGCACGACCGGATCAGACGGTCAAGGTCGGATCGGAGCTACCCGAGCAGGAACAAGAGCAGCACGTCGGTCTTCTGCGGGAAAATGCCGACATCTTCGCCTGGTCCCCATCGGACATGAGGGGAGTCGACCCGGAGGTCGCGGAGCATCGTCTCAATATCCCACTTGACGCTCGCCCGGTGAGGCAAAAGCCCCGGCGACACGCACCTGACCGACAACGCGCCATACAAGAGGAGGTGAACCGACTCTTGGCGGCAGACTTCATAGAAGAAGCCAAGTATCCTCGGTGGTTGTCCAATGTAGTTCTCGTGAAAAAACACAATGGAAGCTGGAGGATGTGCGTTGACTACACTAGTCTTAACAGTGCGTGTCCTAAAGACTGCTATCCCCTCCCGAAGATCGACCAGCTGGTCGACGCGACAGCGGGGCACGCACGCCTCTCTTTCATGGATGCCTATTCAGGGTACAACCAGATCAGGATGGCGCCCGAAGACAGGGAACACACGACTTTCCTCACCGATCAAGGGATATACTTCTACAAGGTCATGCTGTTCGGATTGAAAAATGCTGGAGCCACATACCAGAGGACGGTAAACAAGATGTTTGCCCACCAAATCGGGAGGAACATGGAAATCTACGTCGACGACATGATTGTGAAAAGCAGGGAGGCCGGAACGCACCTTGCCGACCTAGCCGAGGCCTTCGCCACGCTACGCAAGTTCGGCATGCGGCTTAACCCCGCAAAGTGCGCTTTCGGCGTCACCTCTGGGAAGTTCCTAGGGTTCATTGTGCACTAGAGAGGGATTGATGCCAACCCGGAGAAAGTACAGGCAGTAATCGACATGCAGTCCCCCCGGACGGTTAAAGACCTGCAGCGACTCAATAGAAGACTCGTCGCCCTGTCTCGCTTCCTCGCCCGATCGGGCGATCGCTGCCTCCCATTCTTCAAGGCACTCAAAGACCCGAGGAACTTCCAATGGACATCGGAATGTGAGGAGACTCTGAAGAAGATGAAGCGGCACCTGGCCAGCCTCCCTCGGCTCGCCTCTGTCTCCCCCGGCGAGAAACTAGGGCTCTACTTGGCGGCCTCCCCGCGTGCGGTCAGCTCCGTCCTTGTCAAGCAAAGCTCCGGTCCACAACTCCCGATCTACTATGTCAGCCACGTCCTCAATGGACCCGAAGAACGCTACCCGCCGATAGAAAAGCTCGCACTCGCCCTGATGCTCTCGGCCCGGAAGCTGCGCCCTTACTTCCAGGCGCACTCAGTGGAGGTCATCACCGACCAGCCTCTCCGGCAGGTCTTAACAAAGTTCGATGTTGCAGGGAGGCTCCTCCGATGGGCGGTGGAGCTCAGCGAGCACGATATCAGCTACGTCCCCAGAACCGCCATCAAGGCCCAAGCGGTAGCCGACTTCGTCGCGGAATTGGCCCAAATGGATGGAGATCCCGGACAAACCCCCGAAGCTTGGACCCTACATGTGGACAGCTCGGCCAACTTAAGGGGTGCCGGAGCGGGGCTGGTCCTTCTCACCCCTGACGGACGCTCGTTCGAGCGTTCCCTTCGCTTCGTGTTCAAGGCCACGAATAACGAGGCGGAATACGAGGCGCTCCTAGCAGGATTGAGGCTGGCCCTCGAGATGCAGGTGGCCGCAATACACGTCCTCACCGACTCGCAACTTGTGGCCGAACAGCTCAACGGCGGATATGAAGCTCGGGACGCGACCATGGCCAAATACCTGGCACGGGTAAGGGACCTTACCACGAGATTCCCTTACTTCACATTATCTAATGTCCCGAGGGAGGAAAACGGGAGAGCCGATGCGCTCGCTAAGCTGGCGTCGAGACAAGCCCCCGAAGCATGGCCGAGGATCGAGGAACTCCCTGCTCGCACCATTGAAGTAGCAACAACGGCCCCAGGAGGCCCGCCGACCACGTGGGTGCAGGAGCTGCTGCGCTTCAAGCGGGACGGAACCCTCCCCCTCGACGAAGTCGCGGCTCGGCGTCTACGCCGCACACACGCGTGGTACACCGAGGAGAGTGGTCGACTTTACAAACGGTCCTTCACCCATCCCCTCCTGCGATGCTTGGAGCCCGACGAAGCGAAGACAGTCCTGGCTGAAACCCACGAGGGGGTCTGTGGCGAACACATCGGCGGGCGAACCTTGGCGCACAAGATACTCCGCCAAGGCTACTACTAGCCAACCATGTGCCAAGATGCGAAGGCTTACGTGCAGCGGTGCGGTTCGTGCGAGCAACACGCCCGCGCACCCCGGCAGCCCTCGGTCCCGCTCTGCCCATCGACTGTGCATGGCCGTTTGCCCAGTGGGGGCTGGACCTCCTCGGCCCCTTCCCACCGGCTCTTGGACAGCGGAAGTACATAATCGTGGGCGTAGACTACTTTACAAAGTGGGTCGAGGCCGAGCCACTGGCGACGATCACGGAGCATCAAGTGGAGAAATTCGTGTGGAAGAATCTGGTAACGCGGTTCGGATTGCCCAAAACCATTATCACCGACAACGGGCCTCAGTTCGCAGGCACAAGGTTCCAAGAATTCTGCGCCAGTCATGGCATTCAACTGAGGTTCAGCTCGGTGGCCCACCCTCAGACGAATGGACTGGCCGAAGTAACCAACCGTTCCATCCTGGACGGCCTCAAAAGAAGAGTGTCTGCGGCCCGATCGACCTGGACGGACGAGCTCCCCAGTGTGTTATGGTCGCTGCGCACCACCCCCAAGACGGCGACCGGAGAGTCCCCGTACAGCTTGACGTTCGGAACCGAGGCCGTCCTACCGCCCGAGGCGGCAGTCGCCACACTTCGGACGTGGAGCTACGAAGAGGAAGCCTCGAACCAGGGAATTCGCGCCAGCCTCGACATGCTCGAGGAGCGACGCGCCAACGCGCACCTAAAGGCCCTCTCTCACCAGAGAGCCATCGCCCAGATCTACAACAGAAAGGTGCGACCCCGACCAATCAAGCTAGGCGATCTAGTCCTACGAAGGGCCGAGGTCAGCGACCCGACCCGAACGAGGGGGAAGCTGGCCCCTAAGTGGGAAGGACCATATCGGGTCGCCAACGTGGTCCGACCAGGCACCTATCGCCTCACCGACATGGACGGCGCCACCTGCCGAGGACGTGGAACATCCAGAACCTCAAAAAGTTCTTTGTCTAAGGTCAGTACCCGCGGAAACCCCTTCCAAGTCAAAACAGTGCGATTTCCGAGGCTCGAAGACATTGGGGAAGGGCCTCTTCGTTTCTGAAGCATGAAAATACAAGACTCAACTTACGAAATGAAAAGGCACACTGGAAGAAGATTCCTTCATTTGCGAAACACGGGACTACAATAGCGACCTAACCCGAAGACTGCAAAAATTACAAGCTCGGCCAAGCTGGTGTTAAGACTGCCCTAAGCCATCGGGGCCCCCGACGCTATCGTCGAAAGGAACATCCTCCGGCATGTCTACGTCTAAATCCTCGGGGTGCGAGGTAAAGGGATCCGTCTCGACCCCCAACCCGTGGTGGCACGTCCGGAACCGGCCCAGGGCTATCCGGTACCCGTACTCGTAAGCCAAGGAAGCCAAGGTACCCGACCGAACCAGCCCGAGTTGGAAGCCGGGGGATTGCTTGTAGGCTTCAATTATTTCCTTCTCCTTCTCCGGCCGTCGCTCCTGCTCAGCCGCCAAGGCCTCCGAGGCCCCCTTCGCGTCGGCCAAGGCTCCCTCGAGTCGCTGGATAAGGGCGGCCGCCTCGCCCTGGGCCAGGCGAGCCTCGGATTGTGCCCCCTCTAGGAGTCCTCGAAGGTTGTCCCTCTCCTCCTCAGTCGCCTTCGCCTCGGACCTTAGGCGCAGAACCTCGGCCTCAACTGCCCCTGCCTCAGTCCGGAGACGCGTCACCTCCGCTTCGAGCTCCGAAGAGCGCTGCTCGGCCGCCGCGACCACTTCAGGGGCCGCCCCCGCACGAGACTCCTCGAGCTGTTTGCGCAGCTCGGCGTTGCGGTCGCACAAAACACCCAAGGCCCGACCAGAGTCACGGACGCGATCCGCCAACGCCATGGCATAGTGCTGGCCCTGCAGAAGAGAAGGTCAGAACCCTCGGCTACACCACGGGCCAGAAGACAGCAGCTGAGCACTCACCCACAGCAGCGACTTCGCGGATTTCTCGAGCAGAACGTCAGACGGCAGAATGTACATTTCGCGGGCCAGATCGGGATGCAACCCCCCTCGGACAAACGCAGCCGCGGTCTCCCCGTCGGCCCACACCTGGGTCCCGCGGGTCAGCCCCACCCAGCGGGCTACCAACCGGTCAGAAGGTTGGCCCTCGAAAAGTTCGCCCATCAGGCGCGCATGGTAAGAGTCGTTCGGCGGCCCCGCGGGGAGACGGCACAGGTCCCGGATCGAAGGCTCACGAGGCGCCTTTCCTGCAACCGCCTTGCTCGGGCCAGCCTCGCACCGACCTCGCCCCCGCCTGTCATGCGAGCCCGACTCCGCCGCCCCCACGCTCTCCTGAACCCGCGGGGAGGCCGGCTTCTTCGAGACGACGATCTTGGCCTTCTTCCGAGGTCGGGCGACCTCAAGCTCTACCGGCGCCTCTCTTGTGCCTCCGCCCAGACCGACCTGGCGCCGAGGGGATGCAGCAGACGGAGCGCGCCCTCCACGCACTACAGTGAGGTTCACCATTTCTGCAAAAACATGTGGGCCTCGGTTACCTTCCCGACAAAAGCAAAATAAAACAGGAAGGCCCGTCACCTTCTCAAGGCATACCTCGAGGTACCGGGCTCAAGCCCGCCTCGACCAACCACGCCTCGGTCATCTCTCGGATGACCCTGGAAGACGGGAGGACCTCCTTCAATCTTCGAAGGGCTCGAAGCTCCCCCTCACCCAAGGCCGGGGCAGTGTTATCAACTGCGCGCCGCCCACCGGAGCCCGAAGCTCCAACTCTCCGGATGGCAGACGTAGAAGAAGCGCTCCTTCCACCCCTTGTTACTGGAAGGAGCCCCGCTGACCCGGAAGCCCGGTCGGGCGGACAGGTAATAGCCTCCCGACCCCCTAGACAGGCGAAAGCAAGAAAGAAAAAGGGATCGGCTTGGGGTGATTCGGGCGTAGTAGCATTCCCCGAGGAACGCCACCAGGTAGCGCCAAGAATTCGGCGCCATCTGAGAAGGAGAAATGCGCCACCACGCGACACAGGAGGTTATGACTGGGTGAAACGGCAGGCGTAGTCCGGCTTCAAAGGCGTCTACGGTCAGGGCGAAGCCCCTAGGGATGGGATCATACGCCCGCTGCCCCGGCTTTACGCCATCCCGAGTCACACCTGTGCGGTCACCCCGCCTGCGTCGTGCTCCTCGGCCCTCGGCTTTACGCCATCCCGAGTCACACCTGTGCGGTCACCCCGCCTGCGTCGTGCTCCTCGGCCCCCGGCTTTACGCCATCCCGAGTC